TGCTAGTGTAATTGATGGATTGAAAGTTTTATTTCCATCTATGTGTTTCGTTCGAGGACGACTTCGTCATCCATAATCTCAAGGATGTGTTGAAAGAGCGAATGGTGTGTTGACCGGAGCGTTAGAGAAATGGATCGCGGACGAAGATTCAGTTCATTGGTCTGAAGGCTTACTACCGGTTGCTTATGGGATTAATACAAGAGTATCTTCTGTAACTAAAAGTACTCCGTACGAAATTCTTTTTGGTCAAAAGCCGCGTTCAGATGTGGAATTTTTACGAGTAGTTAAAGAGAACAATATTTTAGACGAAGACGATTTGCCGGGTAATGTAGAGGAAATTGATGAAACTCCAGCTGAGAAAGCCACTTCAGACTTTCTTGATTTCGACGACGAATTAGATACTCCAGTTGTTAATGATGCAAATGAAAAAGATACTTCTATCTCTGCTGGTCCGGTTTATGTTGACACCACTGCTTCTCTTGCTATGTTGCTCACTTCTTCGGTCAGTGGTCTCGATGATGGTACAACACTTGTTAATCTTATTTCTTTTGATTCTCCGAAATCTCCTTCAAGATCTATTCAAGATCTTTCCGTTGTTGTTGATGTTGCCATTTCAGACACTGATATGAAAACCACGCAAACTTATGATCTTCTCAACGAGTTGATAGCACTTTGTGACTCTGTCGAAACAACTTCTCAAATGACTCTCTCAACTCCTTCTGCAGCTTCCAATGTTTCTTCAGCTTCCACAATAAACTCAGTTCATTCCTCTTCACAATTGCCACGTCATGATTCGATAAGAAAGAAGGCAACTGAAAACTATGTTGCTACTGCCAATAAAAAGAGAAAACTTTACGATGATCATTTAACAACTTTAGCTGAAGGTCTGAAACTTGGTGATTGTGTTGATATAAAAATTCACGAGGTTGATCGTACTAATACAGATCCAAAAATCTTACTATAGTTGATTGTTTGGAAAGAGAAAAAACATGAAGGTTATGTTTTTAAAATAGTTTGTCAGTTCGGCAAACTCGATAAAGGTTTTAGAGTTGAAAGTCTAATCCCTATGCAAGCAGCTTGTCCAGTTGAATTAAAGAGTCTAAAATTAGATGAATTGAAAGATATTAGTTTAATAGAAGCTAGTAAACTCTTCGTTAGAGGTTCAATTAATGGAGCGACGTGTGATTGTAAAAGTTTGTGTGCCACTAAACACTGTCCCTGTAAGAAAGCCAATGTCAAATGTTCTATCAAATGTCATTCAAAAAGAGGTGATTGTACAAATAAAGAGTAGTTGATTTGATTTTCTGTAGTAAACAATATTTGAATCAATCTGACAATTGTACATAGTGCCATATGCTGTGCTGCTCAAAAATAATAAAAAATAATTAAAGAAATCTCGGGCGGACGCTTGAAACTTAATATTTACATTTGAATTTGCTATTGATCTGTTGTACCTAAATGTTAGCATGTTCAGTTTTAATTTTTGTACAGTTCCACCCGCTGGGTGAGTTCGAGTTTGCCGTTCTCTGATTCTCTTCGGCAGTATTATCTTGATTTGTGAAATGCTATTTAGGGGACAAAAAATTATAAAAACAAAACAAAAAACAAAGTCCTAAAACCCCGTGTATGTGATGGTACTATCTAATCGTGTTAAATTTATTCGATAGATCTACTTTTCATTGTCATTGGGTTACGGGAAAAATCATCGAAGGGAGTAGAAACATATTATTATTCACTTTATGTTAGGATATCTTAGACGCACAATGCCAGTTAAGATTAAACTCGACATTACATGAAAATAATGTCGAATTCTAATTTTGCCTACTTATTTTTAGTCAGAGTTAGAATTTCAATTTTGTCTAGAGATCTTCCAGTCAAATTTTAAATTTGCCTAGTCAAAATTAGAATTTTAATTCTGCCTTGTCAAATTTAAAATCTACCTGGTCATAATTAAAATTTTAATTTTGCCTAGCGAAGCTCTAGTCAAAATTAGAATTTTAGTTTTGCCTAGGCAGATTTTAAATTTGACTGAATTTTAAGTTTGCCTGCAACATATATATACTTCATTTAGAATAATTCAGCATTCTTTTTAATTAGTCTATTTTAAAAAAACCTTATTAATTAGAATAATCTATATTCTAGTTCTAGTTTTATTTTTCGACGAAACGGTAACTAACCATTTGTTTCTTTCTAAACTTAGAATAAGATTTATTATCCGTACAGTTTATTAGATAAATTTACCTATCTTCCATGAACACAATTAAAAATTTAGTTGACATTTAGCTGACTGTGCTCAGATTTTCTCTTATTCCGCTAATTGAGGCACATCACGATCATCTTTAGTTTCTTTTATGTGAAAGGCTTCTAAGTATACGGAGTTTATTTGAAAAAGAAAAATGTCGAAAATGCAGAATAGCGAACAATATCTTCTAATTATATCTCCTCCTTCTCCTGCTACACATTGCGAATACTTTAATATCATACATGATTCCACCTACACCACAAACGTTGCAGTAATTCTTGTACACAGTGGGACATCTTCCATCAGAGCACGTAAACATGAGAAATTTTTTCTTAATAAACCATTTCTTTGTGTTCAATTTATAGCGTAATGATTCTCTATTGTTCAAAATATATAGTTCATGGAAAAAACAACTAAATTCGACAAATTATCAAAAAGTCGAAAATTTTATGAAAATGACTTATTGACAAAACGTTATTTACTTGTCCATGTAAGGTTCGACGATTGAGTATACTCATCTATGCTTCAGTGCCCAAAAAACTTCAAACAAAAGTCGCCCATTTTATCTGGTATACCTGTTGGAAACATAGAAAGGCTAAAGCAACTAAGAAGTGGGCATACTAAAGACAATAACAATGCAAGCGAATAGCTGTAAACAAAACACAAAGTAAATGTTGTCAAACAAAGCCTGAACAGGTTTCGTACGTATCTAAATAGGTTTTGCATTTATCTACGAAATCTTCTTGCATTCCTCAGATTAAATACGACGCGAAACCATCTTATATGCAAATCTAATAAGAATTTTATAAGAAGATGACAACAACTAAGTAAATGTATTACAAAAATTTTATAAGTTTCTTAAGAATTTCTTATATAAGAGGTTGCACGAAAGTGATAAGAAATCCACTGGTTCTGGTAAGAAATTTATAAGAATCTGATAAGATATCTGTAAGACTTCATACGAATTTTGAAAAAGCCTGTTTTATCTACTAGAAAGTATCTAAATGAATCAGATGATTGGACTGAGCCAGTTTCATGCAGTTGTTGCAAAAAAAAGAAAAACCACGCATGGTACGTGGCAGGGATTTACCAACGGACTATATCCTGACAATCTGAGTTATAATCACTAAATCACGGATCACTATATTTAATATAACTGTTTTAAGATGACATTGTGGAACAGCATTCTCTTTGCAATCTCACGATCAGTAAATATAGAAAACTTATTCCCCACATTCATTCAGAATCTAGGAAGATGACGTTATATTAGAAAACTAAAAAGAATGAGAGACTGGAAACCTGTTACTATGCGTATTCTAAAATTTATATTATCTTTCAATACAGCTTTTTTTCGCTCCAGCAAACACGTTTCCATTTCTCGAAAGCCTAAAACGGATAGGTTTTGTCCGTATATAAAACTTCTTACAGTGACTTTTCTGAAGGAACCCCAGAAACAACGTTTTCTTAATGTTTCAGGGTAAACAAACCATGAAGCGCTCCTTGAAAAAGACATTACTTTCAACATCTGGATGAAAAATGACCAACAAACGTTTCAAAAAATTCTTATAAATATCTTACCACTTTCATGCAACTTCTCATATAAGGAAATTCATAAGAAACTGATAAGATTCTTATCAGAAGGGGATATCGGAGTTTCATTAAAAATACCTTCACTAAAAGGGAGTTTATTAAAATTTTTGTGCCATCAAAAACTGTAGATAGATCACAGGCATTTTGCAGGAGATATTTTAATAGAAGCACCGGGACTTTTATTAAAAACATTTTTAATAAAAAGTTCCAGTATTTTCATTGCAAAAAAACCGTTTTAATGAAAGTTTTTTTAATGAACATTACCCAGTCCATCCGAAGTAGAAAGTCTATTTATCACGTGGATTTAACATGTAGAAAAAAATTTATCATAAATACCATAGAATGCTGGTACAAATCACTAGAATATTCAGAGATACTTTTTAAAAAACTGAAACACTATCTACACATCACATGAGTTCGCCCGAAAATAGAATATAGAGACGCAGTATTCGACAGCAAATACTGTATATACTTACAATCTTGCGATTCATCGCAACAATTAGTTCATTAGTCATCACTTTGTTGACAGCAATTAAAAATGCACACTTCTATGCTAATTAAAACGATTAAGAGCCAATAATTTGATTAGAATATTCCTTTTTAAATTAAGAGCAGCCATAGACTAAACTGAAATCTATTTTATTAAAAGAAAAGATCAGATCTTTTTTTTTAATAAAATAGATTTCAGTTTAGTCTATGGCTGCTGTTAATTTAAAAAGGAATATTCTATGCTAATTTCTGCTTCATATTGTAAGTCTTGAGGTATGTTACTAATAAGAGGCATCTTTTAACATAGACGTTTCAACCGGAAGAATTAACATGATCGGCTTCAATAGCAAGATTATCATCCTCGACAACGGCAGAACGTAAATTAACAGTTATCAAATACCGACTAATATTAATCCTGTTCTTAAAAACAACATTTAGATATAATCAACCATGATCCATCAGATCCTTGTGTCTATCGTTTGAGCATCTCAGCAACAGCAATCATACATTTCATATAATCCAACATTTTATTAGGTCATGCAGCATCGAAATTCGTCGAAAATTCAGACGAATATCAATAAGAGATACATTGTATCATCAGTCATAGAAATAAGAGACAATCTCTTTATAAACTTGAGTACCGTTCGTTTTTTCTAACTAGATGTATTTAACATAATAAATCATATAGATTTGCTAAATGAGAAAGTAAGGTGTTTAACGTTTAACACCTAAACATTCAATTGGCGTTGTGAAAAAAGAAAACTTATTCATATTTCTCCGGTGACTACATGGCTTATTTCTAACTAATTTCACCTACTAGCGTCATATTCACGAGAATAAAGTATTATTCCTTTGTGTATTTTCTGTCACATTAAATTGTTATTTTTTTTCCTCTTCCCTAAACATTGACCTTTTCATCAACCATCAATTCACATTTTACAATTGGGAATTATTTACAGATACATTCATCATTAGACAGAAGTACATTTAAATTAATCGATTATTTATTTAAGACCACTGCTTTTCCTATGTACGATTTATGCTAATAAATTTTCCTCAACTTCGAACGTCTCTACAGATGATCATTAAGCATACTACAATTTTCTTCTGTTTTAATATCAATTTTGTTTTGCGTGTTGTACAATAAATTAGAAAATTTATGTTTCTTGTACCTCATACATGCATGCAATGTCGTTTGCATAACAAAAGAAAGAAGAATAGAAGATTGTCAAATGTTAAGATGTTAATATTTTCTTTTCTAACTAGAGAGGAAACCAATACAATTATTATCAGAGAATCTACCATGTTTACTAATTTTTTTTTTCAACTCAGCTCCAAATTGTAAAATCAAGATTTTTTAGATTAACAACTAATTTAATTTTGATATCAGTAAATATTTTCAAAATAGAGTTGAGATACAACAGACATACAATTGACTTTTTCTAGCAAAAGTCATTGTGTTAATGTATAAACAGAACTTAAACTTCTTACAATCTGTTTGATAACATTATGTTCTCACATAATGTTCTCTCATTCATTTTTGTTTGGGCAACTAATCAAAAACTATGAAGATATCTTCATCGTTTTCATTTCGCTTTTGAAATAGATGTCTCGATGGTACATTTTAAAAATAACATCCTCGTTCAATAGATGTTAAAGTCAACGATGTAAGCAGGGCCGCAAATAACGGAGGAGTACGGGGTGTGCATCCCCGAATAACTGAAAAAGCGGTTATTATTTTATCCATTATTCCTCGTACAAAATTTTTTTATCAATTTCGTACTAACTCAAAGAGAAATTTTGTGTTACACCCCCCTAATGTTCTGTTCCCCTTTGCGGCCCTGGATGTAAATGGTCAGCCTATTTAAGAAGCGATGGCGTCTGCTTTTCCACAGTTGGCTCATTTTCTCTCTGATGTGATAATGAATGTGTGATAGTTTTGTTTCAAAAGCCTCAATTAACTAAAAATGGCTAAAAACTTGTTGTTTGTAGAGAAGGTTTCTCAACTAGTCTTACTACTTAGACTTTAAATAGTATCTGAACCAGTTTTACACACACACACACAGTGTGTATGACAAGAAATGACAAATATATCTAAGTATTATGCAAAAACTTTGAATTGAATGATGTTTCTAAGCGGTATTATGATATCTTTTTGTGACAGGATCATTAATTTTACAAGTAGTTTTAGACCATAGAATGGCTACAATTTATTCATTTAACATTTATTCTTCCAGAATACAAGCGGAAATAAATTCATAATAATATTCTAGCGAAAAATAACAAAGCTAGAATGCTATAAAGAATTTATTTCTGCTTGTATTCTGGAAGAATAAATGTTAAATGAATAAATTGTAGCCATTCTATGGTCCAAAACCACTTACAGCAGAATAAATCATTGAATTCTTCGAAAAAATGGAGTTTAGTTGAATAAAATGTATTAGGATCTGATACGTCTTGGGTCCGCATCCGATCATGTACAGTCCTAATTCACTCACTTTCTAATCTATACCTGATACATGTTACTTCAAGTTTTTCCAGAGATCATTTAGTAAACTTAAACTATTCAAATATCAAATCAATCCTCATTCGAAGTTACGATCAAATAAAATGCTACATATTCCTGAATTGTATCTAAAAAGTTTATTATTGTAGTTTAAAATATCAAAGTCAGGCAAAAACTGGCAGACTGAAGTTAAAGTGATGTATAATTAGTTACCCTGTAATTATTTTCACATTTTTTGGTTTAATTCTAAACGCGCTATTGCACAATTTATTCTCGTGTAAAATATGAAGTGGAAAAAAGAGAGTACAATATATTGAAAAGAGCACTGTAGAAGTATACTCCTATTTCAGATCATTTTATCTGAGTATATAGTTTTGTTTTCTATGTCAAATGTTATACTATAGTTTCATTCGAATGTGTTCTATCTATCTAAACAAGTGGAATGGATTCAAAAACACATTGTTAACGATTTTTTTACAAGTACCTATCCACTTCTGGAATATCATGAGATCAAATAGCATTTTATTTTAAAAATACCACTTAATCAAATGTGAAATAGACTGAATTATCTTCGTAGTACACCTCTTCTTTAATTCAATTAAGAGACTTTTTTTTTCTATTAGATAAGAACAGGTGTTCGTTTTTTTGAGAAACATTCTCTTTCTATAGTATCTCTATATCTATTTGCTGTGTACAGCGAAATATGATCGTGTGTATGTATGAGAAAATAGAATAAGGAAAAACCTCGAGTTGGTTACGCATTAACGTATTTTATTTAATGTGTCAACGCGATAATAAAATAGAAGAAAGAAGAAAACATTAACTAAAATTTTATAGACTATAGATGTTCCCGTTTCTTTTCATCTAGAAATATAAAAAAAAAAAAAAGAAAGAAAAAAAATGTATGTGTGTCTTTGAACAGTTAAAAAAATAAAATAAAATGTAGAAATAACAGAACTTCAGTTGTTGTTTTCTTTTGATATTTTAACATGTTATACCGCGTAAAAACTCTCTTTCCTCTCTATAGGCTCAAACGTCAAATAATAATTTATAAATAACAATATTATACACAAACATACGCTCACGAAGAAAAGAAACAAAACAACAAAAAGTAAAATGAATGCGAAGGAAACGGAAATAAGTCTTTTTCTACTTTTTCTCTGGGAAAGAAATGAAACTTTTCTCATATTAAATAAAACGTATCGTACTGTGTTTGTAAGCGAAGAAAAAGGTGGTGGTAGCTAGAGAGAAGAAAAAAAACAGAATAGTTTATGTGCTTGTTCTTCAATAATATCTAGAAAATGAAAAGTAACATATTGCTGAGAAACAAACGAACAAACTCTACAACAGTAGTCTATCATAGACAAAAAAAAAAAAGAGAAAAAAATCGAAATAAAAAAATTTTAAAAATCAACAAATATACGTACGCAAGGAAAAAAGAAGATCTTTTCTAGCGGCTATACAAATAGATTTTGGTAATAGATCTTAAGATTATGATAAAAAAGAGAAAAGTGAGAATAAAAAGCACAAATATTCTTATTAAAAGATGATGATATATAAAGATATAATGATGCTACACATAAATGAGTTGCTAATACATAATTATGACTTTTACCATGAACTTTTTGTTTTCCTTCATATAATAGAATAATAGACGAACAGAAAACTTTATTATAAAATGTAGATACATCAATAATCACTTTTAAAATAGAGCTAATTTAGTATCCGAGTATAAAAGAAGTAAGACTTTAATTTTATATGCTTTAATTTTTTATTAAGTCTCAATATTTTTTTCCTTTTTCATTTATGGATAAGTACAATAAAACAAGTAAGTCATTTTAATTATGTTCAAATTGTATAATTAAAGTTTGCCTAAATAGCTTTAATTTTATTTGTAATATCTTACGGTGTCACCGTAATTCGCTGAAATATGACAGATGTGTGAAACCGACTTTTTTGTCTTTTGTTGTTGGTTTTACCGGAAAGAAGAAAGAAAAAAGAGAAAATCAATTTTCCTAAAATCCTCTCTTCTGCTCTATTGTATGCAATATTTTTCCGGAATGAGAACTCTTTTTTTTTTTTCTCGTGTCGATAACGTATATGTTTGGATGAAGTAAAATAATTAAAGTTAAAATGACATATTTCTTTATCTGCTATTGACAATTTTCATTTTTGTTTAGATTTTATTTAATTCATGCAAAGTCTATGGCAAGGATGAGATAGAACAAACATCTGTATTTTGTCGTGCAAACTATTTTATTTACTTAAGTAAAATGTAGTTAACGTTCAAAAGTAATAGGCGTAGGATGGGATGCATCGAATATAGTTTTATAATAATATCATTATTTGTAAAGCGATGGAAAATTTATTTTTGATCTTAAAGAGAATGAATATTGTACAAAAAAATTGATTGTCCATTCTTATTTGAATAATAAATAAGTCTGAATATTTGACAAGAAAATGTCTTGGGCTTAATAATATTTTCTTGAAATAAACATATTGGTCCATACCGTCTGTAAGACATCATTATAGCAAAAGACTCTGATCAACAATGTCTAATTGTTGTAACATCTATATTTTCTACTATTTTATTTAAAAATCTAGTTATATCAAGTATTAAACGATTCCATTTTATTGATTCGACGATAGTTATTATATCGACGCTCTTTCAGTCAGTACCAATTATCGTTTTATTTTGACTTTTGGTTTTGCTGACAACTTCAGATCATATTATGTAGATTTCATACAAATATTTGTTTGTCTTGATATTCTTCAACTTAAAGTTAAAATCTTACATTTTCAGATACATATATATATATATAAGATCAATGATCAATAACAATAAAAATCATCGGCATTATGGCTGGCATATCATTTCAAGGTCAACAAATGTATTACCAGTTCAAAATCAAGTATGTAAAAACTGATAGAAAAATCGGTGAGCTAAAATTTTTATTTATATATTATATATATATATATATATATATATGAAACATATAAATATATTAGATTATACTTTTTTTCTTCTTCTCTTCTTTCTTTTTTGTCGCATTATGAACACATGTAGGCAATATATATATATATATATATAAATATTATTTTCATAGTTTTACACTGTTGCAAAAGTTTTTTTTTTTCTCACTCGTTAGCATAACGTTGTGTAAATGAGGAAAATATTATTTCTTTTTTAAACTATAATAATCCTTCAACGAAAGACAACGATCATTATCTTTTAATTTATCCATCATATATTCAACATTTTTTGTTATATATCAAAAAACAAAATATGCCGTTATCTTTATCAAACAATATGTATTTTATTTAGAAAAATACCTAATATAAACAACGAATGCCAGGTTCGCGACGAGGTTTAGTAGCACCACAAAATACATTTCTTGAATCAATTATTCGAAAATGCAGTGGAGCGCGTAAGTAGACAATTAATTTTCCTTAATTATCGCCTTATTTTTGAATAAGTACCGTGAAGATCGTTTTTTTTTTTATTGTAAATTTCTCTTTCTTAGATAAAGAATAGTCGCTAAGAGTACCAATTTTCCATTAGAATTCTCTAAGATGACTGACATATGATATTATTTGCGTTTTGAAAGCTTCTTTACAGGCAGTTGTTCAAGCTCTATCTATTTTTATTCTTATTTTTTACCAAAACAAAAATTGATCTAAAATTTCATAATTAACCATTTGTTTATAAGCAGTTTCTGGTTCATTATTTATTTTTATTTTTATTTTTTATACTTTCATATTAGGTATATTGTCCTTTTTATCTTGGACAATTTTGTTGATCATTCGTAGACAACATGAACAGATAGTAACAAAAAAAAAAATTTATACGGATAAAAATCTTTAAATCTTATCTTCAGTTTTAACTCTAGACAAGCTATGCTTTATAAACATCTTCCATTTAATTGATAATAAACGACAATGACGTCATCAAAATGAATATAAAAATGATAGAAATTTGTTTTAACATTATTATTTTCTATAATAACATTAAAATTTATCTCTATTATAGACAGGTGATTGTTATTTATTATCAGTTATTAATGTTAAATCATCGTTTTGATATTCATTTATAATTTACAAATATTATTCTTTTTTTCTATTGCACATAATTTTTCAAAAAACTTCACCTTCCTGTCTATGATAGAATTATAGATGATATAATTATAAAGTACAGGTAAATAAATTGTAAAGATATATAATTTTCATTATTATATATTCTTACAAATCTCGAATATAATTTTAGTTCTAGTTCTTTTCTTTTTTTCTGTTTTTGTTTTATTGATTCTATGATGATAGTGATGTTCTCTCAACTGGAAAATGGTCGATATTATTTTAAATACTTGTATATAGTTATAAAACACTTTCTTTTAATACCGTCTTCTGTTTTTAGTTGTTTTTCTTTCTTTCTTCTTCTTCTTCTTCTTCTTCTACTGAACAATTGGAAGATATAATATTTAATTCGCATGATACCATATGTAGTACTTACTATTCCCAATGAATTGTACTCAAACAATTTATTCTTTATATTAAAAATAAAAAAAAATAGTATCAAAAAGTGAATAATAATAATAATAATAAAAAAAACAATTAGCGAACGGTTTTTTCAAGGATAATTCAAACACGACAGGAGAAGAACAAAGAAAAATTAATCCTTCATTGAGCTATCATTAAACCCATTAGTAACTGAATATCACTATTTAATGTGAGGCAATAATTTTTTTGTTCTTCAGAAAATATTTTTAGGATATAAAAAAAAATGAGATCTATTGATAATGAATGTTATCTATAAATAGTAAACAAAAATGTTAGAAAAGATTTAGACATTTAATGTCAAAACACAGAAAATTCATTTAATCAGTTAACAAATGAATATATCTTAAAATTTGTTCTAGTTTTATGCTTACATATAGAGAGTATTTGTTTGTATTTAGGCAAAAAAATGGTGTATGTTTTTATATTTTAGTTTTTTTTTCGTTTTACATGGTGAAAGAAGGCAATCCAATTAGGAAAAAAAGATCACAACAGACATTTTAAATTCATTTAAAAATTTGATCAATATTTCTATCTATGGAAAATGTTATTCCGAATTGTCTATCTCTTTCAATTAAAAAATGAACTCGTACAGAGACATATAAGAAAATGACTATAATTTTCTTTTTACTAGTATATTTTAATTAATGATTTATATCTTAGAAAGCGATTAGATGCACTGAAGCCTACTGTTGACTAGAGAAACAAACTCAAACCAGATTATTCAAGAATGTGCGGAAATAGAAGTCGTTATCGATAGTATAATTTGAAGTAGTTTCTTAAATATTCATTGACAATAAAAAAACTAACAAAACAATATTTTTATATGGTTAAACATATAATATTTATTTTTATTATCGCAATTCTTGTCTTGTTCTTTCTTTTTCTATTAGAATCCTTTTGAAGGACATTTAATATTGTTATATCTATAAATATTAAACTGATCTCTTTTTCAAGTTTAATAAGACTATATAACGAACGGATCATCGTCTTATACTTTCATTACTATCATCATCATTATCATCATCATCATCATCACATTCTAATATTTGTATCGATGTAGAAAAATTGAGCTCAAAACATAGTAACAACCATTTTTGAACAAAATCTAACGGATCAAATCTATTTCAAAAGTCATATATAAATTAATTAATTATATGGTTCCATTGTTCCACAATTTTTCTTCTACTCATTGTCTAATAACTAGAGAATGTCTGTTTTTCTATTCTTCCATCATGAACATCTTGTTTCCGTTTGTTATTTCAAACCGTAGGATATTTTAGTCTTTTATATTTATTATTATAAACCAGGTAGCTAGAAAACGTTGTGAGAAAGTTCTCCAAATATTGCTACAATTTTCTCTTAGAGTCAATTTAGTTATGTATAATTTTTGATGTTGAACACAAATCTAATATTCATTTGTCTCATACAGCTTTTCAGAATCTTTAGAAATTTACCATAAACTTTCGTTCGCACAAATTCTCATAAGGCCACAAAGTGTAGAACATATCAAGATGGCTATGTGCACAAGATATTGGAACTAGTTATTGAACAACATTTCACCGAGTTATAAAAGTTTCAATATTTTCAGCTAAAATAAGGATGATTGAGGTATCTTGTTCCGATAAACAGCTTATAGTTTTATGAAAACTTATTTAATAGTTTCTGTTAAAAACAAGCCTTATGGAATGAATGAATGTCAGATTCATCTTCAACGTTGAAAGAAATTATCCATGATCTAGTACGTGTCGAGGCAAAGTCGTAGTGACAGTTGAGAATTTTTCTTGTAAGTCTTATAGATTAAGGAATCGTTAAGGACAAAAATATGCAAAAGAACAAAAGTTTAAGATGAAACAAGGATCACGTGTCAAGAAACTAACATCTTCAAACAAAGAAAACAATCTTTCTCCTCTACTACTTATCTGCTCATTCTGCCTAGTTAATACCACACAACTGATAATCGTGCAATTTTTGTCTGAGACTAACAAGAGTGTAAGCGGAAAGGAAAATGGCTAAAAACAGAATGTTATTATTTAATTCCTTAGCAAACCTGACAGATTAAATAATTTTTTTGCTATATCTTATAGACAATGCATTCATATTATCCAACGCGCAAATTGTTGATTATCCTATTGTTTATTCCAATGATGGTTTTACAAAATTGTCAGGATATTTACGAACCGACTTGATGCAAAAAAGTTCAAATTGTAGCTTTATGTATGGTGAACTAACTGGTTTAGATATGCAAGCAAAAATACGAGAAGCACTGGTACGTTCTCATTTTGCTTTTATATTCCCGTAAAAGCTGGTGTTCTTCTTCAGGAAGGGTGTCATATCGAGCAAATAGAAGTACTTTTATACAAGAAAAATAGTATGTAATTCATCAACAGACAATTAAAATGTTTTTCTAATGATCTTATTCTTTCAAAAATGTTTAGAATCTCCGATATGGGTTTTCATGCAGATAGCTCCAATTATAAATGAACGAGAAGCAGTGTGTTTATATTTATGCACCTTCACCGATATAACCGCCTTGAAACAACCAATCGAAACCGAAGATACAAAAGGTATTGTGTGTGCACTACTCTTTCAGTGTCTACATTATGGTAAATTTTGAATCCATTTTCGTTTTAGGTGGTCTAAGCAAATTTGCAAGAATTGCAAAATCTGTAACACGAAATCGATCGATATTAATGAACTTTGCTGCACCAAATACAAAATCTATTCATATTGATCCATCTAAACCGTCAACACTACCAAATGTAAGTAAAGTTTTGATATGACATCGTACGATGAACATATATTCTATTTAATTTTATTCTAGCTATTGAATCTCGGTGCAGAAGTGTTACCTAAATACCGACAAGAAGCACCAAACACACCTCCACATATCATTCTTCATTATTGCACATTTAAAACTGTCTGGGATTGGATTATCCTCCTATTAACGTTTTATACATCTGTACTGGTGCCATATCACGCTGGTATATACTATGTTCATTATTGCAGTCTTCAAATATATTTATACCTTTGTGTGTGTTTTAGCTTTCAAAAGCAAATCTCTCGATGATGTACCACTATTAGTTGTCGATAGTATTGTAGATGTTATTTTTTTTATCGATATTATATTAAATTTTCATACAACATATGTACATGCAAGTATGTATTATCTATACCATATATTTTATATTGAAAATAGAAGCAAGGCACAGATTATTGAAGCTTGAAGTTGCCTGGGGATCTATTCAAGTGCATCACTAATATCTCTTCCAATATTATTACCTGAGTAGCTCAAGAAGCGCATTTTGAAATTTATTTATCCACCAAAACCGATTATCATTTATTTTTTTTATAAGGTTTTTTGAAGAGCATGTTTTTAGGTGGAAATCCTTATATTCTTTTTTCTATTCAAAGAATCCGGTGAAGTGATATCAGATCCAAAACGTATTCGGCGAACATATCTCAAAAGTTGGTTTGTTATTGATTTATTAGCATGCTTACCGTACGATGTGTTTAATGCATTTCAAGAAGCTGAAGAAGTATGTTTCTATTTAATGTTTTATTTTCGCTTAAAGATGAATTTCTCAAAATGTCAGACAAGCGACCCGATAGGTGACCAAGTCCCGAATTGAATGATTTTTATATGTTTTACGGTGTAATGAGTAGAACGTAATCTGAAAACGTTTTCAATTTACATCGTTTTTCTTTAAAAGTTGCAGATCATCTTGAAATTCACATGAAGTCGAAACATAACTTATAAGTTCATTTTTCATCAGAAAGATAAAATAGTTTCATTAAAAATCAACTAGGAGAGATCAACTGGCACTAATCAAAGCAACCTTTTTGTTTCGAGCTTAAAGTTGAATGATACTTCGTTTTATTCCTTACGGTGAGTATGCATCTAAAATAGAACACATCTATTCTTACACCCTCCTTGTCGGTGACCGATACATTAAAAACTTATATTTTTATATTTTTTTAGTACCTATATATAGTATATTGTTTGTTTTGTTTTTTGTTTTCTGATTGATCTATTTCAGCGTTATGGAAGTATTTTCAGTGCTCTCAAGGTGCTACGATTATTACGTCTGGGACGTGTATTTAGAAAATTAGACAATTATCTTGAATATGGTGCGGCAGTGCTACTTCTTCTTATTTGTGTTTTTGTTCTTGTTGCTCACTGGTAAGTGGTCTTTTCTATATTGTTTAGATAGATATAATTATGTTCATCTTTTCTTTTCTAGGTTTGCGTGTGTTTGGTATACAATCGGATTTCGCGAAGGTCGCGGTGGTCCAGGAAAAAGAGTATGCTTCTTCTAATAAATCTTTGATGGGTAGGATACGAGGGTGAAAGGTTCATCAAAACCTGTTCATTTTGAGCGCGAATTTCTTGTTCTCTATACTTCTGGAACAGACGGTGAACACTTACATAAAAACATACTTGATGAGATTCTAATTTCACTCTTAAACTTTGAAGATGGAATATAGTTGGCTCGTCAAAATGGATAGAGAACTTCAATATCATTGCATTGATCCACACGGAAATTTAACATCGTACGAATCAAATGGTACTTGTCGTAAAGCCGCCTATGTAACAGCATTATACTACACAATGAGTTCGTTGACAAGTATTGGTTTCGGTAATGTGGCAGCAAATTCGGATGCCGAAAAAATATTTACATGCGTAATGATGTTGATCGGTTCATTACTATATGCAACAATTTTTGGTAACGTTACAACCATATTTACACAAATGTATTCTGCAACAGCCAGATACCACGAAATGTTGAGTAGGTTAGTAGTAATAATTTAATTATTATATAGCCACGAGTGTACTACTCATCCATGTCGTTTAGTATTCGTGAATTTATGAGATTGCATGGCATGCCAAATCAACTGAATGAACGTATTATGGATTATGTTGTTTCCACATGGGCCATGACAAAAGGCATTGATGCCACTAAAGTGCGTAAACATTGTTGTTACTATTATAATGAGCCGCTGTGACTGAATGGTTAAGTTGTTCAGCACGTACCCCCAAGGTACTGTGTTCGAGCCTCGGCGCCACCAGACATGGAATGACCCTGGGCAAGTCATTAACGGCTGCTTGCCTCGGACCACCCGTCCGATAGCATGCTAACTACGTTGTGACATACGCCGGCCCTCGCGGTTAGTATGTGGTTAGTCAGTGTGTACGGGGAGCTCAAGCAATTGAGCGAAAGAACTCTGAGTCAGGCTGGCCTTCTTTCCAGAGCTACAGCTAGTATTAGTTGTAGGGAAGATATCGGGCTCACGAAACTGCCTCCTGGCAGCACCCTATACCGCAAGGTAGCCGAAAGGCGGGGTATTCTTCCTTCCTCCCTACTATTATAATGAAAATAAGAGTGTATTCTTAAAAGGTCCCTTCTAGGGGAGACGAATTTTAAGAGCTGTTAATAATTCTCTTATTTTTAGGTTTTGAATTATTGTCCAAAAGATATGCGTGCTGATATTTGCGTGCATATGAATCGCAATGTTTTTAACGAGCATCCAGCATTTCGTATGTACTTTTGGACACCTATTTATATTACTATACATCTGATAATTGAGTTTTTCTACTTCAGGTCTGGCTAGTGATGGTTGCTTACGGGCATTAGCTGTTCATTTTCACATGTTAGTACTTGTGATATTGACTGATGGCTTTAACCACATTTAACTTTTATTCTTTCAGTAATCATAGTGCTCCGGGTGACATGTTGTATCATAGCGGTGAAAGCCTTGACATGTTGGGTTTTATTGTATCCGGTTCATTAGAAGTAATACAAGATGATGAAGTTCTTGCAATTTTAAGTGAGTATACAATCATTTTCGCCCATATATTATTGACACTAACTGTTGCTATCTTACAGGTACAGGAGATGTATTTGGGGATGATTTTTGGAGTAAAAATCGTGATAGTATTGGACAATCAGCAGCAAATGTTCGCGCTCTCACTTATTGTAATTTACATCAAATAAAACGGGAACGTTTATTAGAAGTATTAGACTTTTATCATCCATTTAGCATCTCATTTGCTCGAAATATGGTACTTACATATAATTTACGTCATAGAGTATGTATAAACTTGTGGTTTTCTACACAAATTACAATTTTCATAATGACTGAAATCGATAATATTTATCTCTTTTCCACCTTTCAGGTTGTATTTCGTAAAATTGCCGATGTTAAACGCGAACGTGAATTAGCTGAAACACGAAAAAACGAACCGTTCGATCAAATCGGTTCTGATCATCCTGTTCGAAAACTGATATCTAAATTTCGAAAAATTTCACAAGAAAATCGTGTACCTAATATCACAACAACGAACGATGTTGAAACAGGCATGTTTCCACATACAACAAATAATCAAAAATCTTTGACTACTCCATCTGACCAAACAGTGGCTGCGGGATCAAAAGCAACAAATAAATTAGAAACGATTTCGGAAAAAATAGAGGCCCAAGAAGTACAAAATTCGGTGGCTGCTGCTACAGGTGAACAAAATTCTTCTTCTCTCCTACCACCGCCACCACAGCAAAAAACAAGCAAATGGAAATGGTTAAAGAACAGTGAAACAGAAAACGAGAATCCAAGTGATAGTACAATAATGAGAACTAATGGTGCTAATAATAACAATTTAAATTTGACGTCAACAGACGGCAATCAGAAAGCAACAGTCACTTTTACACAAAAAATAAACTCAACAAATCCATTCGATAATATTAGAGAGGATGAATTATCGTCTAAAAGCGCTAATAGACCGTCCATTCCGTTAAGTTTGTTTATACCACGAACGGCAAAAGAAAAACTAGATTCAACAGAACCTGTAGCAACTGTTCAAAATGACGTAAGTACTGTTTGAAAAATGCTATGATTTGAAACATCACATTAATCTGATTGCTTTAACTCATAATTAACTTTATATTCGATTCATATTTAGACATCATTGGAGACGCTTAAACCTGTAGTTGATTCACATGATGAAACTCATGTAGAGTATCGTCAATCTGTTGGTGGCTTAATTGATAATCGAATCTTGTCGTATCTGTTCGAGATTAAAAGTGATTTAAAAACTGAAGTACAAACATTAAGTAAACGTATGAGTCATATCGACGAACAAATAAATCAAATATTCAATTATTTAATGCCAACAAACAATTTAAATACGTCAACAGTACTGCATTCATCACCGGCAACAACCGTGAAGACTAACACAGTGTCTATTTCACCATTATTCGAATCGGCATCATCATTTTATTCCGATATAAATGCGAAAGCTGTATTGGATACTTCTGTTAACAGTGAAACAGTCAGCGGTGGTGATAGTGCTGAAAAATCGAGATTATCGCCTCGTAATAGTGAACAAATGTCTTCAATACCTATACATCAGCTATCCATTCATGATTTTACTGGAATAAGTATTCCGACGTATAGTCGGGCGAGTTCCGGTGGTAGTTATGCGTCTGTCCCATCTCAAAGAAGTTCTATATCTAATAAAATAGCACCAGCCCCGTTCGACGTTAAATCTTCCACAGAAAAACAACCATTGAGTACAACATTTCGACCAATAGCCAATGTTCGTAATAATCCTGGTCGTTCACCAATCCCAAAAACACGATCACATCATCATTCAAAAACAAAATCAAAACAACAATCATCTGCGATAATTAATACAATGGACATGAAAAGTTCAACTATTATCGATTTTGAAAATCGAGATGAACAATCAATATTGACATCTAGCTATAATTCAGATGGTTTAACAAGTAAAACGACACCATTGCTGACTACGCTTAATACATCACTAGGCGGACAATATAATCGAAAAGAAAAACAAAACTTATTTCGTCGTTTTATTGATCAGCGAACAGGGAAAAATTATCAAGATGATGATAATGATGATTTTCGACGATCAGATACAGATGATTCTAAACCGTTGACCAAAGATCAAGATATTAATGATCTTACAATTCTATAGCAAATATGTTTTTTGTATATGTGATAAATTTGTTATTGATTTAGCTTTGTTTTTGTACTGTATTTTTATGCCGGTGCATTTCTCTACATTGTTTTCTAAATTATTTTTAATTAAAAATTAAAGATATCTCAGGCATTAATAGAACTCTTTAAAGCAAAAATTCTATAGCAAAAATTTTATCTTATCTTTTGGTCAAATTTCTGATCAAAATGTACACTGTATGATGCAATAAAAACGCAATATACTAGGCTAAATGCTGTAGGATATTGGATTATTTAACAATATCAAACATGTATTGGAACCGAATGGATTTAAACTGAATCAGCTTGTTTCAATTAGGTCAGATAATATTAATGTCAATGTTAGAAATAATCATAGCCTATTCTCATTGTTTAATGAATTGCTGCTCCGATTGATTAAAGGTACGATTTTTTAATTCTATTAACTTAAAAATTCCAAGACATGGCCTTGGATTTTAGACAATTCTTATGCACATATTCTTCATAATTCAGCCAAACAGCTTGTTAGAGTTGTCCTAGCGAGCAAAACTGTGAACACTTTTTTCCTAAACATTCACTATGTTCATATACTATGAACATAGTGAATGAAAACATGGTAGTGTTCTTCGACGAGAAAACTTACTCTTTTTCCATTCTAAAATCTATTTTTCTCAGCTCAGAAAAACTTTTATTTAAAACTAATGTGATATTTGGAATCAGCATCAAAACCTGCATCAAATGATGTATAAACTATAATCTGATAATTTGACTGATAATTTGATAAACTGAAATTTGAAACATTTTTCTACAGAAAGTTTTCGATTAAACTGAATTGTAGTGTAGAAGCATGACTGCAACAAATTTTGCACGGGTATTTGAATGTTCGTTTTAGCAGCGGGACGAAAGTCTATAAACACATGTTTTATAGGTTTTCGAATATGCGCTTGCCAATGGTGAGATTTTCGACATCTAGAAATATTTTCTATGGGTCTTCTAGAAAACCCAGAAACAACTATTTTTAGATTTCGAAAATCTCACCATTGGGAAGAGTATATACGAAAACCTATAAAAAGTGTGTTTACAGACTTACCTACCACTTCTACAGCATATGTCCATGTGCCTAGTCAAAATTACCCACTGTGTTTCGATGGGTTTCTTTATAGCCGAATGTACTCTGTATTTCTTAGCTAATATATTATCTGAAATACAGAAAGCGAATTTGTTATTACAACGAAGTTATACAACTGCTGCTAATGTTGATCAACAAAAAACAAATTTAATTCGAAAATTGAATACTCTACTCAATGATATTTTTTATGGTTATAAAACGAAACAATTACTGAAAAAACAATCTCTCAAATCACTGGAACTGGATAAATTGAACAATCATTTATTGATACAACAGTTAAATATATCAAAAGATATTATGACGAACGTGCTCAGTTGTTATAAATCACTATCAATCTATGATGGAAACGATGATGGAAACGATGTCACAAAAATAGAATGAGAAAGTAATGAACGTTGTGCCGCCTATTTAAACATTGATGAAACTGATGTGAATCATTTGTATAATGATTTTAATTCCACTAAATCAAAACATATTGCAGCAAAACAAAAATCTATTGAAATCCATAAACTAATTCAAGCATTTTTATCATCGTATTTACAAACTCTCATTAACGAACTTCAAAAATAATGCAGAATATGAATGTAAGCAAGATAATTGTCAAAACGACGATGAAAACGATGATCGACATCAAAAACAGCCAGGCAAACAACCACGTATTAGAAATGATCATTTATGAGCTTATCGTCTGGATGGAGAAAATGTACCAAATTTACAAAAACTGGTTCAATTTTGTTTTTCAGTATACATACTGGCCTCGAATGTTTTTTGTGAATCAGTTTTTAGTCATATGATATATCTATAAACTGTCATCAGGAATCAAATGAAAAATGTTACATACGGTGGCTTTCGAGTTGCAAATAATAATTTTTTGAGTTTTGCTACCAACACGCCTCTGGAAACTGGAATCATAGCAGGGACGAACAGAAAAGTACAATGGCGACTGTTAACCAATGAGCTTAGTGTAGAAAAATTCGTTTCCAAATCAAATCGATAAAAATATATTTCTGATGAATTATCGACTTCAACAGATTATGAAGTGGAACAACATATCAAATCAAGACTCAGATATTCAAAATGAACAAAGATTCCTATTAAAACGTGTCATCTTTAAACAAAGTAAACCTTTTGCTGGAATCATTCACAAAAATTATTGATCATTTAGATGAGGATGTGTTAAAAGAATGACTAGTAGAAATGAGACGATTAAAAAAACGTGGACGATCGAAGAAAAATATGATAGTACGCTATAAAGAAACGATTTCTGCATCACTAGCCATGCCAGGACGAAGTAATAATACATTTGCTGCCATCATGTAATCACAAAAAACAAAAGGAGCAAGATTTTTTAATGAAACAAAGTTTACTGTAATTTTTAAGAGAGTCGACCATTTATTGGCATCCCATGTATTTTAATTTTTTCCACTATGCTTTTTTTTATAAATAATCTAGAATTATAAAATTAATTTATATGAAGTTTCGATTTAAATATTTGATAATAAATTTTATGCAATGGATGAATCTTTCCTTCGTTTTTTGTAGATTATTCTCGTTATATATAAAGTGAAATATTACATATGAAGTTAAAAGAACTTGAATCGCACCTAAATGAAGTAGAAAACTTTTCAAATGCCAAAGAATATTTAGAACAGTATATGACAACACCTCATTTAGGTACTGTAACTCTAATATGTAAATTCATGATGTTCAGTTCTGTATGATCTTTTTCTATTTTATTTTAAGCTGCTCGAATGTTGTATACAGCACATACTCAATACGATGATATTGAAAATTCCATCATTGGTGATCTGGGTACTTATGACGCACTTTGGGTGCGAATTATTGATTACTTGTTCACGATGCACTGTTGATAAATTTTTGTTTTATAATTCTAGGGATTGGTACAGGAATGTTGAGTATTGCCTCGTGTTTGATGGGTGCAAATTTTTGTTTTGGTCTTGATTATGATCAAGATGCACTTGATTTATGTCAGCAAAATTGTCAAACGTTTGATTTAACAACAAGTTTAGATATATTAAGATGTGATTTAAGACGAACAATCGTTCCATTTCGTCATCGAACTGTTGATACGATTGTAATGAACCCACCATTTGGCACCAAACCGTTTTCTTCTTCATTAGGTGCCGATGAAGGTACTGTTGATTATATGTTAGGCGGCATTGATATGATATTTTTGAAACATGCGAGTCAAATAGCAACAAATTCAATATATAGTTTACATAAAACAGTTACACGTGAATATATAATAAAAAAAGCAAATGAATTGAATATGAAAACGGACGTGATTGCTGTTATGCAATTCGATATACCAAAACTAGAGAAGAAAAGTAAATATAGACAAACAACAACAGACGTTTCAAATAGACATTTGAAACCAATTGAGGTTGATTTTATTAGATTTGAAATAAAAGATGTGAACTGACGGAAAGATAGATGAAAACAGTTTTTTTCATTTCCAAAATATACACACATATGCTTAAAAAAGGAAATGTCTCATCGATAACTTTAATTATACGTTAACATTTCGATAGCACTGTAAAAATAGTTTCTCTATTCTCTATTTGGATTTAATCGGGCTCCCGATTGCACATTTTTAAAGAAAAAAGGATTCGATTAGAATTTCAAAAACTAGAATTATAGGAGAAATAAGGAAGAAACTGTTTTTCAGCCAAAAAAATTTCTTTTTAGCTTTATTCGAGATGTGACGATGGAAAAGTACAGGGAAATATGCAAGGGAAAAACATCGCACGTCGGGAAGAGAACTACCACTCGTTTAGCCCCGTAGCAGTTCGCGAAGTGAGTAAAGTGTGTAATGTAATTTGATCCTGCAATTTCCCGGTAGAGATGTTTTGTACTTTTGACCCTCTTAATCATATGCTTTATAAACATTTCTGTCTTTTTATCCACAGAAAAATATGATTAATTTATTTACATTTTTTTCCAAACATCCAAACCATTTTGTACTCTGTTTTGTTAATCTCCACTATTTTCGCTAATCTATACGCCGACAATCGACTAGTTTTATCTGTTAAAGACCAGCACGCTGCTTGTTCATGTAAGAACTTTTGTACATTATTTATTTCAACTTTAAAGTAAGACTTTTCTAAAGCTCAGTAAGTTCAAAATAGTCTTTTAGTATCTTTACTTCTAGATTTCCTGACCGCAGCATAAAAACTAATGTTCATCATTCATATATCAAATGAAAGTCCTGAGAATGAGCGACAATATGATATATATTCGCAGTTCTCTTTTTCGAGAAACTATATGTATCATCACAATACGAGCAAAAAGAGATTGTCAGGATAAAAGACATAGGTGTTATATTCTGCTAAGAGATTTAGAAGAAATCTTGTAAATGTTCCTGTCGAAAACAGAATCCTCTGTTTTATCAATTTTATTCTCTAAGTAAACGTGACTTTGAGCCGTTTTTATTTATTTCTCATTAGTTACATAACTAATAAACAAGACTTTGCGGTACATCATTAAATATTTACAACAGGTTTTGAACGTGGCAAACTGACAATAATCCTTGAAATCAAGTTACACTGTAAAGAATATAACTTTTTTTAACAAAAAATTGTATAAACGAAATGACAGAAATTGATCTTTTGGTTTGTGTTATATATACTCTTTAGAGAACAAAAAAAAAATCCTAAAAGTAATTCAGGAAATTTTTAAAAAGCTCACAGTTTCTGAATGAATGTCTTTTTCTTGAAATTTGCGTGGATAACTCAAGCAGAGCATTGAACATTTACGCACAGAATACTGAATTTAAGAAATAAGATGAAAGACAACTTTGTATAGACAATATATTTTGTCCGCAAGAATAGAAATTTAGAGGGAGTCCATGTAATATGCGCCTGGCAATTATCAATATTTAAATTCAATCAACCGGTCAATGAAGCCGACTGAAGAACTTATTTGAAATGTAAAATAATTAGAATATTAATATTTAATCATACAAACCTAATATTCTTCTATTCTAGCGCTGACAACGATAGAAATTTTCTTCTTATAAAATTACTAGTGCACTTTGAGTTTCTTTAAGAACAAAATCCATCAACAATATTTCAACATACATCGATGCAATACTGTTTGATTGCAGTATGTTGCACAAAATGATAGTTTTCGAACTTCTTCGGACAACACTTACGCACACTACTTCCTCTAGTGGAACTTAATGCACCCAAGATCTTGAGTGAATTGAGTCAATGTTTCAACGTATTGTGATGAAAACTTATACATTTTCTTTCTCATGTAACAACCATAACCGTTAGACATACAGTCATATGTGGTCATAGACTTATTCTTGAACAGCCAGGCAAAATCTCGAGGTATGAAAATTTTCGGAGTTATATAAGTAAGAGTGTGAAACATAACGGCGATTCCAGATGTTCAAAATCTTGGGTTCTGGGAATTTTTTTACACTTTCTCACTAAGATCATGAATCAAGATCTTACCGAAAAAAGTCAAGATCTTACTTACAAGAAGTTTTACTACAACCTAGAAAAATAGCATCTCAGTTGGGAAGCACAATTTGTTTATAGTTTCCCGTTTTTCAACAGGAAAATTCACCAAAAGAAAAAACGACGATGAATCATTTATGCGATTAAAATGGCACATTGCTCTTTTTTTTTAAATTAAAAATACTCTGCTGATGTCTGTTGTGTGGTACGTATTGCTTAGTGGCCTTATTCCTTTGGCTATACTGCCCTCTTCATACGAGTTGTCTTACACATGTGTTTAGAAACAGAGTTGTGAGTTAGGACAGAGAGTAAATTGTTTCCAGTTAACATATTCAGAAATAGATTAAATACTTCTTTGTTGTTCAAAAAGACCGCAGTATTGCCTATTCTACAAGTATGTATTTTTGATGTTTAACGCGTGTCCATATATATATATATATATGAATACACGCGCTAATATTCAAGTCGTCATTTGGAATAGAAGAAACACGTTGAAATTTCCCAATAGGCTAATGATTGAATATAATTATATACAGGAAAGAAAACATTGCAGTTTATTTATGGTGTTTGATGTAGAAAAGCAAAGGGTCACGAAAGTCTAATGATAACTGATTGGTTGTCATTTAAAATATTATTGTTTAGTGATAACGTCAATTAAATTTACGCTATTGTTTGTTGGGAAAAAATGATTTTTCTACATAGTTTTAGATAGAGAAAGACAAATAGACTATACAGTCTAATATGTACATGAGATAGGTATAAAGAACAATATATGTTACAGATAATTCTTCAACTAAAACATTTTACTTTTTTTGAAAGCTATCTGATTATCCAAAATCGTCTAAAATGTTGACATGATTAAAGAATATTATTTTAAAGTGTATCAAAGTGTGTATCGTTTTTCAAAAAATGTTTATGATGATTCATTTTTTTCTGACTCAATTCAATTATCACCATTATCCGAATAATCTTTAAAATATTTCACATTTTGAAGAAATTTAATGATAAAATGTCATAGACAGGTTTGATAACATATTCCTCATAATCATTGATTTTGATTTGTGCGAAATAAGTGCATGCTAGTAGTTTAAAAATGCAAATGTCATCAGACAATAGAACCATAAATATGATAAATACCCCAAAAAATCTAAATTTTTTTTCATTAGAGACCCAAGAAAAACAAAATGTACATAGAAAAAATCTTGTTTTATTTGAGAGAGTTTTATATACCGTAACGAATCGCATAGAAGCATTTTAATAATTAAAAAAAAGTGTTAACATATGACAAAACTCTCAAAGTTCATCTATCCGTCGAGGAGTATCATCGATCAATAAGAATTAGTTTTCTCTTTCATTAGAAAGTATAAACTCTCTCTCTTTTTCAAACGGCTCATAATACTTTTGTCTAATATAGCATGGGCAGAAAGAGATACGCTCGTTCAGTGGTTTTTTAACTTCTGTAAGAAAGAGACACAAAAACAAAGATAATTTTTTGTTAGTGGGAAGTATATGAACAAGGGTACAAAATTACTTAATCTAAGAAACAATGACGATTACATCACAAAATTTTTTTCAAATCACAGGGTTCTATTAGTAAAAAGCAAAAAGTAGGAGTTTTAAGAACAAGATTTTGAACTCTGTTATGGTAAAGTTTATATCGAAAGAGTAGGATAAATGTGAATAGTGTGGAAAAAGGCTAGAAACGTTTTCACTATCCCTCCACTGCTTTTCTATACTCAGATCCATTAATTATAATTCATACATTTTTTCATTTTCAGTAGATATATAAACTAAGAACTCCTCGGCAAAGAGTTTGCATGCTTTTAATACTCGAGTGCAACTGACAAGGTAAACAAAAAAACATGAATTGCAGGAGACTATAACTACTCTTCCGGTCAGTGGCGGATCCAGGATTTTTCAATGAGGGATATGATTGCTCGAACTTCTGAGGTTGGAAGCACGAACACTGTTTTTTTCTTCTGAAAATATTTGGAATGGGGTGGTGGGATAAGCGCTCCTCCCCTAAATCCACCAGTACTTCTGATGTATGTGGTATACGAAACTAAAAAGTGTTAAAGAGACGATACTTTCGAAAATTGATCAGCGTTTTTTCTCACAATACATGGTGCGCTCCAGTGCGTTAGCTTCACTTCTCTTTCTTATGTTTTTACTTTTTCATAATTCAAGCCTACGCTAATTAAGTAAAAGTTACAGTGTCCATAGTATATTTCCTTCAAATTCTAAATGTGAAAACATGATGAAGGGAAGACGGACTCGCATGAAGAATTTTCTGAAGAATATATTAGTGTGTTTTGTTTTAATCCATAACGTTCATTTTGTTCGATATAATGTGCTCGAACAGATTAATAAATGGAGAAGTTCTGAAAACTAGAATTTGAATATCTTAAATGTTATGTGGAGGAATGCTGGCACTGAATGTAAAGAATTAAATTCTGGATCTTTTGATCATAAAAAGTGCATTCACAATAGATCACATGACTTTTCTTTCCGAGGAAAAAGATATAGAAAGCTTAAAATATCAAAAACACCAACACATGACAGTCATAGATCATGTTGTTACTAATAAAATGAAAATTTATAAAACCTAGAACAACCAAATATTTTTACTTAAAATTTCCTCGCTTATTATCATATGTCGAACATGATCATCCAATTATGATTATCTGTTTTGGGGAGTAAAAATTGACGAAGAGACATTGCAAATGTCAGTTGGACATGTTCGGATGAAACTCGATGTCATATGATGTAATGGTTTGGATCGAGTGTGTTAAATCTATATCTTTTGTACTAATTTTATGCTCTACTGAACAACAGAATTTTAGCTTATCCTTATATTTCAAGACGGAAATACGAACGTAGAGATTTATTATACGATTTTTTTATCTATGGTATGTTTTAGTTTATTAATTGCTCGACAAGAGTCAGAAAACAAAACGTTTCGTTTTATTATTCTAGACTCTAGACTATTATCGTTCATTTTGAGATCGCCTTTATTTCAGATTATTTATCTGCGTCAATTGTTTGCTAAGAGACAAACAATAGAAAAGTAAAAGTAGTGTAAAGAAGTCGTGCATTTTCTTTTAAGAAACTTAACAAATGTCTACAGTTGTTCAAATAAAAAAAGACGCCATTTATTATTTTTTAAACAATGTTTAATCAGTCATTGTAAGACAACGATAATTCATATCTAACAAAGGTTCACCAACACAGAGGATATTTAAGAATTCTTACAACGTTCAACTTCTACACATTCATAGTTTCTATTTACTGTCAGAAAAAGTTGTTTTCACATGTAGAAACTAACAACGATTTAAAATCGAAATAGAAAACGCACATACAGAGGAAACTAATTTGGACTACTAAATATTGTAATTAATGTAACATTTCACCGTTTCAAGAATGACTATCAAATAAATGAAGGAACCGTAATAGTTCATTAATAGAACGATGCAATGACTTAATGTTGATGTACATCAGAAAAATCGTCTAGTTTTGTGGAATGTCTTCCTTCTATAACAAAATTTACAAAAAATAAAATTTTGGTGAACACGTCTGTATGAACATCGTTCCAGTTGATGATAATCAATGGAATAAGAAGTTATATATATATTATGCCAATCGTTTGTATATCATAAATAATCAAATTATCATTTTACATCAAGTTTTCTTCGATGTAAGAAGATGAAGGTCTTTTTCCGAATAAGAACATGTTTATAATTTCGAAGACACTATTTCCATTTTCAAATGAGCACTAAATTAAACAAATCTGGGTGTGTCTAATTGACAAAGACGTTAATTTTTCACACAATTTTTAAAAAGAAAAAGATCGTCTTTTGTTCATTCCCCACGGGTACTTTCACTCATCATTTTTATAAAAGAATAAGAAAATCACATAGATTATAATTACAAGTATACAAGATGCGTATGTAGATGTAAATTGAGAACTTTTGGTTAAGAAAGAAAGAAAGAAAGAGAGAAAGAAAGAGCCAGTGAACCATGGATGGACTACCTATTTTCATTATGACGAGCGATTGTACAGATCTATTTTGATGATTAATAACAATTGATTGCAAATCATTGAGCCATCATATACACCTGAGTCACGAATGTCCATGTTCCTCGTTCTCTCTTTCTCTCTCTGAGAAGAAAAAGAGATTGATAACAAACGCGTTTCTCTCTGTCTACTTTTCTGTCTTCTATACACAAGGAAGTAAAATAATCAACTCAACGTGACACTTTCTATTATAATTAATCTACCAGGTATAGTCCTCACATCACATCATAACTATATGGTCAGTAAAGCACGTGAAAACTATCTAATTCAATAACTTTTTTATTTGATAAGACTCAGAACAGTAGACAAAGATATGGTAAGCTGATGTATAATAATAGATACATATTCTACCCAGTCAATAGAGAAAAATTGAATGTAAGAGAGAGGGATGTTTCTGATCCATTTTAAACTAATTATTTCAAAAGAGATCTTGACTGTTTGACCATTGCCAATGCCAAATTGAAGAATAGTAAGGTCTCTATAATGCGGTGAAACTTCATAAAACCAAATTTTTGCTCATTGCTGGCTTACTCACAGATAATCGTTGTCTTCATTTTGTTATATTAATCAGTGTGTCATATGTATTCATCTGTCTTTGTTATGACAACACTCTACACTTATCTGATCAAACTACAAAACATTTTAAGGTTTATTTAAATCATAAAAATTTCAAGATAATAACATCTCAATTGGAGAAAATATTGTCAACATTAATTGAACAATAGCTATGTAAATGTTTTTTCGATGATTATCAAGAATTGAGTAAGAAAAACTTATTTAATAGACATTTTAAATGATCTCGTGTTTATAAATAAGAGAATAGACATCAACTATATCATTTAACTCTCGTCAACATAGAATAAAACCGTACTATCGATATTACGTATTATTATCATAAATCTTTACTTTCTAAGCTCATTGCAGTTTCATTGTTGCACGAGTGTAAAAACTAGACAATTTTTCTCTAATAGATAAGACAACTCTCTTGTTTGTAAATAGCTTATAGACATACTAACACTCCTCTCGATACACATCGACATGATGAGAATAGAAATGTCGTCCATGTGCTAATCTTTCAAGATATACTGTAAAAGAAAAGAAAAGCTCATAAACTGTATGATTCTATATACATTTTTGTTGTTTCATGTAATATTTGAAAGTTATAGATTAGTGTCAAATATTGAGGCAAACAAAATAAAGTAGGATGATTTCTTAAACAGTGTGGAACAGTTAATTATTAACTTCAGTCTTTAAACAATTTAATTAGTTAAATAAACATAGATTTACATTTTTTATCATAGGTAACTATACAAACTTGATCATATTTTGGGTAAATCTTAACTAAGAAATTTGAAGGTGTAGTAAAGTGAAGTATAGGAATGTTGTGAATATTGATACTCATATCTTCTCAAATGCTGATGTTTGAACTTTTATTTAAATGCGTGAACATAAAAACGTACTTTTGTTCAAACACTTTATTTGTAGATATAATGCTATTTAAACAGATACAGATTGACTTAACAATTTGTTAAATAAATAAATGAGAAAGTTTTGAGACAAAAAAAGTTTAACGAGAAGAATTTTCTTATAGATGTGGCTTTTAATTGTTAAATGAGATCAGTAAAAGCCGTAGTTAATAAATCAGTATGATAGATAACAACAAACCAAATCATTGGCTACTTGGTCTCATTTTTATTGTGTTTCCAAAAAAGCGATCCCTTTTTTAATTAATGAGTAATCAACAATCGTAATTTTGAAATATAGATATCGAAATTAGTCACTTTCTAGAAACAATAGAGTACAATAAAAGTAGACACATATATAAATAAGAATTGGTGATTATATATTTATAGATAACACGATTCGTTGTGATTTTCACGTTTTAATCGATATAAGTAATTGTTATACAAAATTGCTTTTTCACCTTTTTGAGCTTTTTCACCTTTTTGAGTTTTTTGGCCAAGTAAAGTTTATACCCATAGTTTTAAATAAAGTGTGACTTTCGTCCTCATGTTTCTATATTTATATTATCAATAAGATAGAACTCATGATCAATGACTAACCATAGTTATAAAATATTCTTTTGCGAGAAATAATCATTAGGATATGTTTTACTGATTATTAACCAAAATTAATCATTTTAATCTGGGAGTTAGTAACGTTCGTTCATAAATATAGGTATTAGGTCTTCTTATCCATAAATATATAATCACCAATTCTTATTTATATATGTTTCTACTTCTATTGTACTCTATTGTTTCTAGAAAGTGACCAATTTCGATATCTATATTTCAAATTATGATTGTTGATTACTCATTAATTAAAAAGGGATCGCTTTTTTGGAAACACAATGAAAATGAGACCAATGTAATTTTACACGTTCCAATTTGCGACCACTTTTTTACTAATTGACTTGAATTTTGATCTCATTTAGGAAGCTCCGAATTCATTTTTATAATCGTTCATTTTACACTAGTATTATACGTTATTTTTTAGAACAAATAGATAAATTAAATGATTTAGATGTTCCAGAAAAACGACTTTGTGTGAATGATAAATAAATTTTCCGTCTGTTTATCGTATACAACTTGAATCTATTTGTAGAGCGAAGTTGTCAAAGACTCTCGTGTGAGACAATGTGCGGATTATTTCAAAATAGTTAGTGAAATTTTAAGCCATATAATTTTTGAAAATTGATTTGATGTTTGACAATTGACATGAAATATGATTATTACGTTCAATATGACATTTTTGAAAATTTATTGGAAACTTTCGTTGTAGTTTGTAAGTGTTTAACTTTCCACTTTGAGCATAAAATACTCGTGTTTATAGCTTTGAGCATCTGCTATTACTATTTTAAATACCAACAACTGTCAAGTGACTCTATACTTCTGTCGTTTTTGTACAGTTATTATCGCTTAATTTAAGCTCAAGTAGTGTTATGAGATTTGTTTTTTAATTATCAAATTTTTTGAAAAATATATAAGTCGCAAAAGGTAAGAAGAATACATAATTATACTTCCTGCTGCGAGTGTGTAAATTGTTTTGTCCATATGTACTGTCTTCTGTTCTAATGTCGGTTGACCAATGGTTAATTCATTCTCTTTTTTTTTCTGTCGTTCTCTTTTTTGTTCAAAAATCCGTTTATAGGACATTATTAAATAGCTATTTCATAGTCTACGCACAGCAATCATTGTTTGTTTATAGAACGGAAGAACGATCTATTCTAACTTTTTTTCCTTCTTCGTCTTCTTTTTCTTCTATTTGTACTGTTAAGAGAAAGAGGAACATTTATGTCTGATTGAGATAATAATCATTACCGATTAACTCCAATATTACCAATATTGTTTAAATAAGCTTCAAAAATCGTTCGTTCATATCAATAAGTGCATTTGACTCTTATTTTCTATTATTTGCGGCTGATTAATTGTGTAATATGAGAAGATATATATAAAGGGAGAGTCCATAATATCTACTAATACTCAAATATAAGAGTAGATGAACATGTATAAAAACACGCCTTTGCGATTACTTGGCACATAGGTACACATAACAAAAAAGACGCATGCAATTAGATAAAAGATTATTCAGTTTGTCAGTAAGTATTTTCTTATTTTTTAATTAAACAGAACACTCACATCATGAATTAGTCTAAGTGAAATGTGCGCATACGTTGCGTATATCATTCTAACCTGACAATTTGGTGGAAATACACAATAAGATAAGAAGAATTTAACTAGTATTTATTGCTAATTTTCTAGTTTTTAGCATCTCACAAGAATCTAATGCTACGTTGTATTATTAACTTCTTTGTAAAGAAGTTTTGTAAAGTTTTTGTAAGAACTGTTTTGTTCGCTCGATCAGCATTCTCTCTTGTAAAACGTTAAGTTTATATCTGTTGGTTGGTATTTATATATATATTTCCAACTCAAACTTGTTTGGCCGTGGGGATTTCAGCATATAATCCTCAAAAGTGTATAAATCTATCATCTGACACGTTTTTTAATCCTATCATATATCGCGAGATTTTTCGCACTCGCCACGTACACACTACCGTATCATTATTATTACCTTTTGATGTACTTCAAGTGGTATTGAGAGAGATAAGTAGTTATATGCCATTAGATTCGATTCTTTAAAATGGTTTTATTTTACTTTTTTTTTATACATTATAAATCAAATCTGGATATTAGGTAGGGGAGTGATGAACATATAAATTAGTTTGATCATTTTTCGCTCTCTCTCTCTCTTTTGTGTCTATGATCTATTCATTATTCACGGTTTCAAAGTGTCAAACGTCAAGTGTCTTCCAATTTTTCATACTAAAAAAGAGGTGAAAAGAGATTTTAGTTTAAGAGTTCTTCAGATGGCTAAAATGCGCATCGAATGTTTCGTGTTTGTTGCAACATATTGAACACTTGCTACACCAAAAAATAAATCTGTTCATCATATATCTGTCAGTGTTTTATTTTCTGTCAGCTAATTTTTATTCGTTTAACAGAATAGACTTATTTTGTTCCAGTCACGTATATGACATAGTAGGCCAGATATATTTTCAAGCTGACAATCGGACTATCAAAAAAGAAATGTACATATTCTTCTATAATTAATTATATTTATTGTGTGCGTGTGTCTGTTTGTATGCTTTGTTGTTTAACTAATTAACCACACAAGGTAAAATTGTCAAGGACAGTAATATACAATGAACAGAGAGAGAGACAGAAAGAAATTTGTTTTATCGTTATTGGCACAACTAATTGTTTTAATCGATAATGGGATGATTTAATCTAGAATTATCGAAAAAAAAACGGATTATTTGTCACTTTTATGATATATAGCGAAGATCACACGAATGTATTTTCAATGTCATTCATAGAAGAAATATTAGTCATTTCAATGATATGTTTGTTTTTTTATCAAAAAAAAAAAATTCAAAAAGTTTTTGGCCTAAATGTTCTAATATACATAAATACTTAATATATAGAAATTTATTCAAGCGCAGATGTTTATCACACTTTCGTTCACAAGCATCGAGAAATTTCTATTACAGTTTTTATATTTTTACTTTAGTTACATTTTGTCGATTGATTATTTTTTGACAAATTTGAATATGCTCATACATTATTACATTAATATACGGTGCTTACTATACATTCTACTATCGTCAATATATTTCTTCTGTCAGATATCCTACGGTATGAATAAAACGGAATTCTATGATATATTATATATTTTAATATGTTTTGAATTTTCTTGTTTTTTTTCTAGCCGAACTTATTAATCAACAAATTTTAGTTGGACCAGAAGATATTGCTGCAAATGTCGGTGACACAGTTGTATTTCCATGTATTCTTACATCACCGCTAAGTAAAGTTATCTGGTGCTGGAATGGTTTTTGTACACTTGGAAAAACAATACATATCGAAAATAACAAAGAACAAGATATACAATTATATCAATATGAATTTTATTCACGATTTTATTTATCAATTAATGAAAAATTAAGTAAGTAATCGAGTTTTATACTTGGTAGAAAAAGAAGATAGTGGCTAATATTTAAACAAAATTTTGTCTAGATGTTTTACAATAGACTAAGTTGGGGTAATTCGGGACAGCCTCTCTAATTTTCACAGTATTTTGAGCATACCTGAAGCGTTTTTACTCGGGAAAAAACGACATTTCGCAGGTAGATAGATCAAACATTTCTCTATCTACTAATGTAAAAATCTTGTTAAAGTTTAATAAGATTAATTAGTACTCATCAATTTCCAGAGAGCTCCGATCAAATGTCCCGAATTGCTCCATTTGGGGTAATTCGGGACAGTGTGTCTCGCTGGGGTAATTCGAGACAGTCCAGCAAAAATGGCTGGAAGAAAGTAACACAACTTTTTTCAACGGCAAAGTTTTACCTTTCTAATTAAAAACTACACCATCTTGTAGAGAATTTTGAGTTCTATCTACCTTGTAAATTGCTTGTAATTTTACCTTGTAATTTCCGTTGAAGTTCTAGTGGCATGAGAGCTGTTGCGATAGTTCTTAAAATTGCAGGTAAAAATATAACAGTTGCCTCATAGCTTGCAACTAAATCAATCAAATTTCGCAAAAAGAAACACTATTCTCATTAATGATCTTAAGAAGATGCTAAAGAATTTAGATGCAAACTGGAGTATAAAAATGCTCGGCACGTAAATTCAGATGAAACACTGTCATTTTCTTACACCATCAGCATTTTATTTCTCTCATACCACTAGAACTTCGTACAAAATTCGCTCAACAATAGTAGTCAGGATTCATCATTTTTTTCCATAAAAGTAGTCGAGTAGTGGCAAGTCTCCGTTGAAATATCGACCAGCAAAAAGCGCAGAAATTGTAATAAAAGAAATTCTATACTGATACACTACAAACTGTATTGAGATATAATCCCGACTCTTGACTTTTCACTGGGAAATAGTTGACCTTAGGTGGGCTGTTTTCAAAAACGTTTGATGTAACATGAAGAGAATTGTACGAGGTTTATGAAAAGCTGTACTTGTTCGTGAGCTGATTGTCAATTAAGGTTCTAATTTAATTTTTCTTTTAATTTTAATGAACGAAAGACCGTTCAAAAACAACAGTTTTCATATTCTCTTAGGAAACGACGAAAATACACTTTTTCTATCCGGTTTTTACATATATGATAGAGCTCATGGTTCTGAACAATTGTGTCGTTTAGCAGGCTATCAAAATCGATTTCTAAAAGTTCGGGACATTTCATAGGAGCTCTCTGGAAATTGATGAGTACTAATTAATCTTATTAAACTTTAACAAGATTTTTACATTAGTAGATAGAGAAATGTTCGATCTATCTACCCGCGAAATGTCGTTTTTTCCCGAGTAAAAACGCTCCAGGTATGTTCAAAATACTGTGAAAATTAGAGAGGCTGTCCCGAATTACCCCCATCCTACTCTACCTCGAAGAAAGTAATCTAAATCTATTGACATGTTTCTCTTTGATGTAATCACTTCTTTTTTCTTGTCGTAGCGTCCTTCAAACGTACACTTTGATATGTATATATCTTTCACACTTAACTTAAGCAAGAAAAAGTTTTACGTAATTTTCATTTTTTTCTTTTATTAATTATTTTACCACCGTCATCACCTCATTGACTTCGATTCTTTGTGTTTTTTTTTGTCCTTTTACTGAAAAAATATTCGAATAATTCGAATTTTTCACACAACAAGCTTAAAAGTGAGCAGGAAAAAGAGAAAGAGAGTTTTCACGTGTTCTTTATTTCTCTATGTTATTATTAACCATTAGATTTTATCCTAATCTATGGATGAATTGCGTGTCAGTTTTTCATCTTCAAAACTGAATTATCCTCCTAGGGTAAATGAACAGGAAGTTTTTTAAAAACTTTCCATTGTTCTCAAATGTATTATTATTATTAATATTGGTCTACATATGTGTGCGTGTTCAATTTCGCACTGTAAAGTATGGAAAAGAGGGAGAGAGAGAGAGAGAGAGAGAGAGAGAGAGAGAGAGAGAGAGAGAGAGAGAGAGAGAGAGAGACAAAAGTGAAGATACCCGGAAATGGAGACCTATAAACTGAAGTTGTACTATACACTAGTCGAAATATGTAGTGTAAACTTTTTATTCATTGTTGTCTATAATTTATTCTAATGTAACACAAAAGAGAAAGTTTCTTTTTTATTGAAAGAAAAAGGAAATTTGTATGATGTAATTTTACAACAAAGAAAAATTAATTATCTTCTTCCGTATTTAATTATTGTGTGTCGATTCGTGTTTGAAACCACAAATGATCCTCTTCTGAAAGTGTTTTTCAAATCCCTATTAGTAATAGAGAGAAATGGTACAATTACAGAATATTGTGATGAAGTTTAAAAAGTAAAATACATTGAAAATCTGTTTTGTATCTTACTTGGAAATAAGACCTACAATAATTTGGGTCCAGGTATAGTTGATAATCAAGAATTCAGAGAAATAATGACGATAACCTCGGGATATTATCAAAAATGTTGAAATTTTTTTATTAATCAGCAGTAACGTTGGAATTATTTTAAAACGTGTTTAACAGCAAAAAGCTTCTTCTGTTTCGGTTCTTTTGAGGAAGAAATACTACAGACTTTTTTAAAAGTTGAACAGCAGATATATTTCCGTTTTCATTAAATAAAATGGAAAGAGATCATTATTATCTCCACACTTGGAAAGGCTAATTAGCAGAAAAATAAGAGGTCGTTTTAATTCTACGAGTTATCAAAAAAAAAATCTTAACAAAACTGAACAGTCGACAGCGTACAAAAACTATCAAAGTTAAAATAAAAGAAACTTTCGTCGATAACGATGTAAAGTGACGGTATGAGAATAGTCCATGCTTTTCAACATAGACACGATGGAGTCGATATCTATTTGGATTCATATTCTATTTAGATCATTACAATTTAACAATAAAGAATGTATCATCCAAAGATGAAGGAACCTATCAGTGTCAAGCGTTACGAACAATGACTATACAAGAAGCAGTTTCAAAGCAGGTACAATTAACCATTATAGGTATGTGTACAACTGCAGTCACACATTTAGAATAAAAATTCTGTCTCATCTTTTAGCTCATCCCACTCGTAGTCCGAATATTATTATTGGAAATATGCCTTTACAGCAAGGTACACCGATCAATGTAACATGTTTATCTAGTCCATCACAACCGGCCTCAAGTTTATTATTGTATAAAAATAATGAACAGTTAAAACACACTCTCATCCAATATGAACATGATTTAAAGAGCAGAAAAAATTTAACAAAATTATTTTATATCCTTAGTCCAGATATAACATGGCATAATGCAATGTTAAAATGTGAACAAACCTATCTATTATCAAATTTTAAACAAGACGTATCAACGCGCATTCAAGTCCAACGTATGTAGATTAAGTTTTAGAATACGAAGTTTTACACTTTTTTTTTTTGAAATATAGATAAACCGTTAGTCCGAATAGAATCTCAAAATAAATATCCGCTGACAATAAATTCTACAGCAACATTTGCCTGTATTGTTAATTCAAATCCTCAATCATATATCAAGTATAACTGTCCATCACCAAAATTTTAGATTGTTTATTTCAACGTGTCCTTCTCTATTTAGATGGTTTGCCAATTCACTCGACATAAGTAATTTAAATACTCCTGTTATAAATATACCATTGTCAAAAAGTGTTCATAATCACACAATCGGATGTAGTGCAACAAACAGCATTGGTACAACAAATACAAGTATTCGAATTTTAATAAGATGTAAGACATCGCACTCTAAATTAACTACTATCATCATTTTTTTGCTTTTGTTTTTATTCGTAGATCCTCCAACATTTATCATTCGACCACCGCCATTTTATTTGTTTGAACAGCAAAATAAAAACAACAACAATGTTTTACGTTGTCTGGTTGATTCTTATCCAAAAGCATCAGTGATTTGGTATCGTAATGGACAAATAATTCAAGATGGTTCTATATTAAATATTGATAATATAACGCAACAAAAACAAGAGGGTTTATATACGTGTCAGGCATACATTGATGGTTTTGAAACAATTACAAGTAATGTTGTTGTCTATATTAAAGGTATGTCAATTTTATTCAATGTTCGCAGTGCATAATTTGAAAGAGAGATTTCTATATATATATATATACACACACACAAGATAACTATCGTTCAGTCTTTTAACCGTTATTTCAAGACAAATTGGCACTTGGCAGATGTTTCTATGCAGGTCCACCCATCCATGTTTAGTTTTAAACCGGCAACATATCATTATGTGTATCACTTAAGCTCTGTCGAATCGTGCACAAAAATCTCTATAATTTCATTTAGTTTTCCTATCGGAAATTTGTCTTGAATGAGCTCATGAGATAGAGCAACCAATGCTCTTTCAAATGAGACGTCTTTCAGCTTTACGGGATGTTAGACTAACGAGGTATCTCATTTTTATTGATTTAGAACGTTCTGTATAACGTCTCCCTAGAGAATGTCCAGTTTCCCTTACCAGACGACTGGTCAGAAAACTGTAAGTAAAAAAGTCTTTGTCCTGTTTTCTTGGTCAGGATCTGTTTTGTTTTCCTGACCAGTAAAAGAAATCAAGATCAGGACCTGCTTTTTAGATAGTCATCAGCATTTAACTATACTTCGGCGTGTTAAAAGTGACTATAGCTTTTTCAGGTTTGATTACATTACGTTTTACTCATATTTTTCTTCGAGAACATGATGTAAACAGTTTTTGAGGTTTTTATCAGCCCCATGATCCCTTTAGGATCTCACAATCTTTATCTACAAATGAAAAAGACATGTTTTTACAAAATTCATACATCAAAGACAAAGGATTCCGTACGAGTACACAGCAATTTTGGCTCTCTAATGCCTCGTGTAAACCCTCCTTGCATTTTCCCGCCATAATGTTGAACTATGTTAGATCTGTTTTTAAGAAGTTAATAATAAGCTCTGGGACTTCAGTCAAGAAATTTCCTAACTTGGATGAAGTTTTCTATTCTTATGTTCTTCTCAATTATTAAATTAATTGAGCCTATACATCAGAAAAGTACTCATATCCGATGTACGCTTCTTGAGAAAGGCTCATTTTTGATACCCAGAATAGCTGAAGGAAAAATGTTCAACTTTCCGATAATAAGTTTGGCAAGGATTTAAGCAGGGATCCCAGATCCAAAACACGAAAATCAGAAAAAATCTGAGAAAAAGAAGTAGAAAATCAGAAAATCAGTAGACCTCAGGGCAAAAAAGAGCAGAAACGAGGCAGAAAAAGTTCCAAAAATCAGAATTTTTCTGGGAAAATCAGAAGATCTATAATCCCTGGATTTAAGTCTTTCTGCTCTCTCACTCATAGGAATCCACTGAGTAATTGACTAAGGATTTTATATCTTTTCAAAAACCTGGCGTTTCGTAAATTGCTTCGTTAAAAATTTTATTACTGGATAAGAATGTAGAGCAAACATTTCTCTAAAATTTAGAGAAATGTTTGCTCTACATTCTTATTCAGTCAGAAAATTTTTAACGAAGCAATTTACGAAATGCCAGGTTTTGAAAAGACATAAAATCCTTAGTCAATTACTCGGTGCATGCCCCTTACTCGCTCAAGGAAACTGTTGTGCACTTCCTCTGTGAATTAATTACGTTTTTTTTATGTACTTGTATTTTGAAAAAGTCAAAAAATGCAGATATAACCTGCAAAAAGTTCAAGTATAGAAATAGCTTGCACTCCAAGTAAAGAAAATAAGAAGTGTAAAAAGACAGATTTTCTTGACCTGTTCTTATCACTTTCTTGGTCTGGTCTTGGAGCTGATCAGGACAAGAAAATAAAAACAGGAAACAGACAACTGTAAGTAAATAAGTCTGTACCCTGTTCTCAAGACCAGATAAACTGGACATTCTCTAGGGCTATATCGCTACTTATTAATTTCGAAGTTAGTATCTCTGTGGCAGACCATTATATTTTAAAGAGAATTGTTTGCTCTATCTCGTGAACTTATCAAAACAAAAGTTTCTAATAGCGAGTAGTCAGAAGGAAACTGCGGACTTTCTGATGGTTTTTTCTCAAGTTAATTTTACTTAAAAAGTTTCGTTGTGATGCCAAGAGATAGGAAATTCCTTTTCGATTTTATTTGTTGTGTTCTTTTAAAAACAAGTATTTGGCTATTTTTTGTAGCAATAGAAGTACTAGAAGCCGCAGACAGTTGTTTGCTTAGTGTTGGTTAGATTGGAATGCGTTGCGTGATCCAAAGACAGCCTAAAAAGTAGATTAAATTTTAATTTTTTATATCGCAAAACGAAATCTTCAGATAGCGTGTTGTGATAATGAAAATGATTTGAAATATATGTCCTTTTACCGGCCACTCTTGCCTTGTTTCACCCAGAAAAGCATTTCAATTTCAGCACTTGTTATCAAAACGACTCAGTCTCTAGAAAGAAAGACATTTTGTTTCTTTTGTAGCATGTAAAAAACTAACTTTTCGAAGTTGTACTTTTGAGAAGAGTTTTAACAAAGGCACCAAAACATTGATTCACGGTGTCTCTTTTGATGTTTCGGACTTTACAAACAGACATAAACAAGTATGTAAAAACAAATAAATACATTACTACTAATACTCAACAAAGTTTTTTATTTTTTATCACTTTTTTAACTTAATTTAATCAGTTAAAAAATTAGATATGCATTTGAGCAATCAACTTTTTGGTGCTTCTAGTACTTCTATTGCTACAAAAAGTAGCCAAATGCTTATTTTTAAAAGAACATAACAAATAAAATCGACACAAAATTTTCTATCTCTTGGTACCACAACGAAACTTTTTCTAGCATTATTACCTCGGAAAAGAACTCATTATAATAGCAGAAAGTTTAATCTGAACTAACCATTACTTGATTTTTTAGATATTCCTCACAAAACTGATCTTCAGAATCTTTTGTTTCCTTGATGGAGATGAAATCGAAGGGCTTTCATAGTACTTATATGATATTGTTTCGACAAGAGTATTTTTAATAGTCAACCCCGACGTATGCGATTTTTATAAACAAGACGTTTCTTTAGGATTCGCATACTTTTTCTGTGAAAATATTTTCGTCACTTTCGGAATGTTGGAAAATTTGTTGCACGAAAAAGACCTGAAAACGACTGAAACCATCAGGTTTTAGTTTTCTATAAGTCAAAAGATTGTCTATGTTAAATCTAGACTCTGTTTCTTAACGATGAGACAGTTTTTCAAATTACCAATATAGTGCTTTTCATTTTAAGAAAGTTTTCCTAAATTAACTTTCAGTGCAATAAGTTTCCTCACCTTCTGCTTTCATTACACAAATCTACTTCTCTCTATGATCTATGCGCGAATTTTTTTGGACTACAAAGAAGGACTATAAACCTCAGTTTTCTCAATCAAATAAGCAGCATTCTTAATAACAACAAATAGCTTGTTTAATAACAACAAATAGCTTGTTTGAGATCAGCGCATGAAACTACACTGAATTACGTATAAAACGGTAGGTTTTTCTACGAAAAATTTCAACCAAGACGTGCGCTCTCCTCTCAGATGTTTTTTCTATGCAAAGATATTTATTTACAAAAACATTTTGATCTTTTTTCAAAACCCAGAAGTGCCCACAATGACGTAGACTATAGGATGCACATAGCGACACATTGTCGGCTTATGGTCGTACAGAAATGGAAAAATTTACCTAGAAACACCCATTTTTTAAATTGTTTTTTTTTTTTGTGCAAGTGAGACAAATCAGGTTGCAAACTTTCTTGTAGTTATTTCCTACTATGTGTCTTCTGTAACCTTTCGAGATTATCAAAAGTATTACCAGAGCACTTTCATGAATTCCATTCAATTTTAATTCGGTTGTTTTTCTTTTAGGAAAACCACTAATTTTTGTCAAAGATTCTAGAAGTTCAACACATGAAAAAGATTTTGAATGCAAAGTTTATTCAAATGTTCCAATTATGGTCAGTGATAAGATTTTTATTTGAAGAATTACTATGCTCTATTTGTTGAATATTTATTCTAGCGTATATCATGGGATATAAACGGTGCAATAATTGAAAGTAGTGATAGTTCTCTGATAACCACAACATGTGATAATATTAGTTGTACCTCAAAATTAATTTTAAAACAAGCTACTCTTGTATTAAAAAAAGCACTCAATCGTCTATCTTGCATAGCGGAAAATGAGTTTGGAATTGAACAAAGTTTAGTATCTGAACTTGATTATAGTGAAGGTAATAAGCATGTTTAAATAAACTAAATCTCATCTAAATCCATATGTTTTTTTCCCTAGTTGGATTCTACAACTTATTATTACCAGTTATACTATCATCATTTTTAATATTACTACTCATTTCTATTGTCGTTATTTGTTGTGTATGTAAACGTGGAAGACATCGTCAACATTCTAGTACGTTTAATACTATTAGAATATATATGTTTCTAACGGAAAACTATTTTTATATTCTAGTGAAAAAATTACCAATTGTATTTGATGCGCATTATTCCATTAATGACATGATAAAAGACACATCGGTAAACGATAATCAATTATCACTAAGAATTGAGCATTCCCACGAACCAACAATTCTTTCATTTTTTAAAAAGAAATCCGATAATAATTCCGTAAGTTCGTCAATATTTATATAGATAAACTGTATCTTTACTTTGTCAAAGATTTCTAGAACGAATCAGCAAATAGTTCAGGATGTTATTCTAAGTCATCAATGATGACGTTCAATGTTGAACAATCAAATGAATATAGTCCGAGAATGGCTGAGGTAGCCTACAATTTTTCAAGTAAGTAAATTAGACACTTGTGAATATGAAATATTAACTCACTATGTTTAGGCATGTCTCCATTGTACACTTCTCAATATCAGATGAATGTGTAATAAATAATATACATGGTGGTATAAAGTAAACTTTAAAACTCGGTGGTCGAACTTTATGTGTGAAGAAGTGTCTATAATTTAATTCAAGTAATTTTTAAAATGTTTAACGACAGACGCGCGTGTGTTTCACATAATAAATAATATCTATTTTTGTTTTTATTCTATATGTTTAGTTGTATATCGAGTTTTATCGACACTGTATATTTATACTTTTTTTTAACCTATTTATCTAATAAAACCTTGAATTGATACCAATTTGGTAGCGCATGCCCGTTAATATGTACAATGGTATTTTGAAATACTTTTTTTTCTCGCGCGTAGGAATCTTAGTTAAAAGTACACTGTAATGTCGGGAATTATTTATAGAAAATGCTCGGCGATTTTCAAAAAGTCCATATATAAATTCCCTGAGGATTTTCTAGATTCTAGAAAATCGAATTTACAAGAAACTTGGAAATTCGA